TTATGGCCATTTTGCATCCCCCCCCAACAATAAAAAAAAAAAAACTATTCTTCAATAGGTATAAAGATTGTCAACAACAAATCACACATTTCTAAAATTAACTCGATAAAAAAATGCAAATATTCATAACCAATAGTCAAAGATTGTTCCCACTCAACTCACGATCGATGTGAGTTATAAACACTTTATTATGCTTAATAATGGAATAGTTGACAAGATCCACCAAATTGCATGAAACACTTGATTTCAAGCAAATTATTAGCTTTGATCCAGTTGTTAAGGCTATCTCATGAGGGGTGAAAGTTGAGCCCAAAATATCAATCCAAACAACCACCAATACAAAGATTATGATAATGCGTAAAGGCTAACTATTAATTTTGTTTCTGTTTTATTTAACTGTCTATTGTGAAGTTAATTTCACACATATGTGCATCTCGAGACCTTCGATTGCTATATTGTACAAATAGCAATGTGACATCCAACAGAATTTCTATTTCAACTTAATTCAAGCAGTCTCTAACATAATCCATAATATAACCTTATAAATAATATAAAAATCATCAGACTACTCCCTCATAATCACCATTGAAGAATAAAACGACTTCTAAATTTCCTAATGCAATTTCATGATCCAGGAGTCTCTAGATTTTTTTTCTTTTTTAGAAAGGTGCTCACGTTATCATGTCTTCAACATGATCTTGGAATATAGAATGATCAGCACATAAGAGTGGAACAGAAGTAAACCAAGAGACCAATAATAGTTAGACATACCGATTTAGAGACAAAACCAACAGATCCAGGTCTATAGAGCTTGCATTGAATTATATTGTCGATTGTTCCTGCTGTGTCGCCTATCTTAAAAGCTCCTGCTTGGATTCCCCCAACAGTGGCAGGACCAATGACTACCTGATAGTATTAACAAACATGCAAGGTTAACATGCAAAAGAAGAAAAACTCAATAAACAGAGCAATGCATACACGGTATACTATGAAGTAATACTTCCATTGTTGTAATATATTGATGCTTAGAATTTTATCTACAATTTTATGATACAAACTTCTAAGAAAATTGAAAAAAGTTTTTTTTGTCAAATTTAAATTGTATTACCTGATCTAAACAATCATATACTCACCAAATCCACATACATTTTGCCATTTGTCATCATTCATAGAGTTATATTAACTTCAATCGAATCAACCAAAATAGCTGCTG